ATATGAAATTTCATGGTGTTGGTGTTTATTTTTTTTACGCATGTATTCACACCCACAGTAAAAAACACTGCTTTGCTGCTTTCGCCCCATCTTTAGTGCAGCTGCGGTGCCAGCAACCAGTGCTGTAATTAAGGATACTAGCAGATGCTTGGGTGGTTGAGGGCATTTATGTCCCACGAGGCTTCACAAATGTTGCTCCCGCCTCTGGGGTGTTGTTCTGACTTTTCACACATCATGGAAATCTCCAGGCCTTGTATAGGCTTCACATTAGAAAATAATGGACTTGAGACGTCTGAGCCAGCACAGAATAACTGGGTTTCAAAGAATCCTCAACACAAATAATTCACATGATTTTGCACAGTTTAGTACCCAGTTGTGGCTTACCAAGTTGTCAGCCCTCTTCAGTTTTCAGATATATCATATACGCACACATATAGACATACACAGTCAAAGGTTTGAAGTCTATATGATTAAAAAAATAATAATAATTAAAGGCTGCATTTTTTTTAAATAAAAAAAAAAACAGATTTTTTTTTTTTAAAGAAATCTTCTCTACTTGAATAATCTATTTTAAAATGTGATTTATTCCTGTGATGGTAAAGCTGACATTTCAGCAGTCATTACACAAGTCTTCAGTGTCACATGATCCTTCAGAAATCATGCTGCGTTCATGCTATGCCATAATTCCCGTCATTCCACTCGGAGTTGTTCATGTTCATGACTGGGAATTATGCGTTTCTGCAATGTTATCAATGCCTAAATTAATCTGCAGCGGTCACATGGTACAATAGGAGCTCTCAGAAAATTCCCAGTGTTCAAGTTATGAGTTCTACATTATGAGTTCTACGAGGACGTGAACTAATTCTAATATGCCGATTTGATGCACAACAAAACATTTATTAGTATTATCAATTTGATCAAATTGTGCTGCCTAATATTTTTGTGGAAACTTTTTTTTTTCTTGGAATTCTTTTTTCAGGATTATTTGATGAATATTTATTATGCAGAACAGCATTTATTTAAAATAAATATTTGAAATAAAAAAGAAATTGGTTTATTTATTAATATTATTATAATATTAATAAATAAACCAATTTATTAATATTGCAAATATTTTGGTTACATTATAAATAGCTTTACTGTCATGTCTTTACTTTTGATCAATAATGTGTCTCTGCTCAAAAGTATTTATTTCTTTAAAAAATAAATTAAAATAAATTAAAAAATTAAAAATAAATCTTATTACCCCCAAACTAATTTCGGAGGCAATTTTTGGGTTTAATGTTGGATTAACAATTTCCTTGTAAAGTCCCTGTTTTCTCTAATCTCTTGTTCAGGTTGTGAAATTCCCCCCCTCCATATTATGTGATGATAATATAGGTTATACACATGCATTAGAGCATGTGATCATGTGCATGCATCTGCATTATGTGTAATATGCATGAATGTTCACGAAACCACTCTCACTCTGCACAAGTTCTTCAACATGGAATTTAAAGGCAGCATTAAGATTTTGCTCAGTCATACAGCAGGAACCTTCCGTCGGAGAGGAACTGCAGCAGAACCCCATCCTCTCCCACTCCTGATTTCACACTGCCTTTTCACAGGATTACAGGCAGCCATAGTCAAAGAGCCAGTCAGAACCAGTCTACAAACCCAGTCTGCAGTCCTCCGTTTGCTTCATTACCTCCTCTGTTCATTCAGCCTCTGGGCAATGATCACTTTCATTTTTTTAAAAAAATTCAATTTCTCTGTTTTTTTTCTGCCATATGTGGCCTCATATAAGTTTATGTATACGTCTATTCACTGAAACTCATGCATGCATATAACACACATACTGAAAAAACACATGCGTGGCAGTCTTAGATGAGAATGGCGTGATTGCTGTTATATAACCTCAAACCAAAGTGTGCATAAAAGTGGCTGCTCTGCTTGTCAATCGATCACCAATGATGCAGTTGAATAACGCCAGCTGCTGTAAACAAAATGATTGCAGAAAAAGTACATGTTGTGTATTAAAATGGCGCATTGGATGATCCAGTTGTTGATACCTAGGTGTAACAAAGGCCATTATTTAGTCAGAGGTTGGTTTCACTGCTTTGTTTCCTGCACCTGGTGATCGTTTCTCCTTTCTGATTGCATAACCATGTTTTTTTTCCCTTCTCCCCACTAGAACCGACTCGGTTCAGCCTGAGCATTCCGGTGGTCGCCATGGCAACTGGGCATCATCCATCCCCCCCAAGTCATTGTTGAGTGGCAAGAGCATGTTATCTAAGGGTCACAAGTGAGATTTGGAAAGATATGGAGAATCTGAAGTGGATTAAGCAACACTTACGGCTCACTTGCTTATGGTAGTAATGTTTTTTTCATAGCACTTACTGAAGCATTGCATGGATGCAGCATCTCATATGTTCTGTTTGAGGAGTCATTGTGTTATAAAACAGCAGATAGAGAGATCAATTAGAAATCCCCATCTTCATCTTCCTAAAACATGTTTCTGCCTCCACTGTCTGTTTTTACAGGGCAGGAAGGAAACTGGGTCAGCAGCCTGAAGTGTTTCTCTCTGCATATGATTCATGATTCATGAATGTGCTATTATTTGGCCTAATGAGAAATCATCTCAATTAAGCTTCATTCTTATCAACACATAAAATCATTGATTATGCTCAGATTTATTCATGAGCACCAAATGGAAATGCCTGTGCCTGTAAAAAAAAAAAAAAAAAAAATGGAATTGAATAATTTTTATTTAAATAAATATCACTGTCATTTGTTATGATGTATTTATACATTTTACAAAGAAAAAAATAAACAGGGATATAACTCTGTCATTAACCAAAAACATGTATATTTTATGGCTCGTTTGAGTCAACGTATGCAAAACAAGTGCTGATATTGTGCTTTGCTTGGAAAAATAATAATAGGATCACTGTTTTTTTTTCTTCAGTCAGACTGATTGTAATCGTTCACCATTCAATACACAACCTATATTCATGATATTGACTTTATATCAGAGAGTGTAAGTCACTTCCTGAAGATTCATGTCAGAACATTCTTGAAAAAATGATGATACCGGGAAATGCAACAACAGAATGAAGCAAGTTTGATGGTAATGATTACAGAAGCATATTATTCTTATAGATAGTTGTTCCAATCTCAGACTTTAATCTTTGAATGTTAAATTAAATTAGCCTACAGAAGTTTACCTGTTGATTCAGATAAACTTTTTTTGAAAAGGTTTTTGTAATAAAAATAAATAAATAATGGACAGCAGTTTTCCCCCCTTTTTTTTAAAGTTTACTTTAACTTCAGATAATAAAAAAATATTTTAATTTACCATATCAATATATTACTGCCCAGCAACAACTTTCCCCAAGCACTAGACAGAACACCATTCTAATTTGTGATTGGTTGGCAGTCATTTTGGGGAGCCAATCACAAGGCATTATGACTTGTCAGTCTGTCAGGCAGGGGAATGTAGGTAAAAGGTTCCACAACAAACTTGTTAACCCTGCCCCCACCGCGCAGAGAGAAGCACATAAAGTAAATATTTTTGTCCCAGGAAAAATTGGATGTTCCTACATTTCATATAATGAAATAGAGACGCCCCTTTGTTCCCGTTTGAGAGCCAACACGCGTGAAAGCGTTGGCCGGCTTTGTGTTTATGAGCTCCTCGCAAAGAGATTAGTTTATCGATGATGTTGCAAAAGTCTAACTGCAAACTCTGCAATAACACTGCGATCCAGGTTTGAATAGTTGTTTGCACATTACGAGGTTTCAGAAAGAAAACATTTTAATCTCTCCGTTGACCAACACGAATCCACATAGAGTCCATTGCAGTATGTGTTTATGATAAAACAGATGTATATCTTTTTAAACGTATAGGTCTATTACACGACCATAATGTGTTTTGCACAGGCAAAAATAAAGTTTTGTTTTTGTAATTAAAAAGTTCTGTCAGTAGACTACACAAAATGTTCTCTTGTGCAGATGTAAAGTTAGTGCTTAAAGGACATTTAACAAGTAGTGAGCAGTTAAAATGGATTGTGTTCTTGAGAATGAGAGGCAGATCTTAAATTGGAGTCCATCATTAATCTGTGTAAAAGTTGTCCAAGTATACTTACCTTGCCCCATAAATTCAAAACTGTTTCTTGGGATGCTAAAATAACATGCAAGTCAAATCGCAAATACAAAAGCAAGACATGACTACTGCACAGTTAAAGAGAAAACACACAAGACAAGTTTGTGGTAAAAATAAAAGTTTAAGTCTCTTTTTTTTTTTTTAGCAACTTCAGGTTTACCAAAATGGGTGCAGTTACATCATAGTAGTAGACAAAACAGAATCAAATCCTTGATGAATCAGGGATTTAACATGACAAATAACAGATCCACAAGTATAAAAACAGGACAGTTATTGGACCTCGACTGAAGTGTACCGCACAACATGAACAGTGTACAGTCAAAATGGATAACAAAATTTGCCATTTAATACACTATCAGTAAGACGCATTGAAACATTACAAACTTGAATGACCAAGTCAACGTACGTAACAATTAGCTATTGGTTTAAAAGAAATTAGATGTTGTCTAGCCTTGGCAACCCTAGGTTCTTCTGTGCACCTGACAAACGTCTCAGTCCATCTTAACTACCACAAGGTAGGATCATGGGATCAGAGCTTTCAACGCTATTGTTAAACATCCACTCCCCAAGAAACAATTAAAATGAAGAAAAAAAAAAAAAAATAAAATAAAGGGGGGGGGGGGGGGGGAAAGACATGCCTTGCAACACCATGTCCCCAGTCAGATCAGGTTAACTTCAGATTTAATCTTAAAATGTTAAGTTGACCAGTCAACTTCAGCGATATTAAAATGCCAGGTTAAAACCACCCTGAAAACAACAAGATACAGTACTAATTTGGCTTGATGGCCATTTAAAAAAAAAAAAAAAAAAAAAAAAAAGAAAAGGAGGGAGGGATGACAAAGGGGGGGGGGGGGGGGGGGGGGGGGGAATGGAAGTTCAGTCCAGGAAAAGAGGGGTCTAGTAGTCCACAGGTTCTTCACCCTCTTCATCAAGCAAACATGTGCGAATCAGGGCCTCAGTGACCGCATAGGGGTCACAGTTGGCAGATGGACGGCGGTCCTCAAAGTAGCCCTTCTTCTCTTGTCCCACTGTTCGCGGGATGCGGATGCTAGCACCACGGTTGGCTACGCCTGCGGAGAACTCATGGATGTTGGAGGTTTCATGGTGGCCAGTCAGTCTACGAGCATTGTCCAGGCCTCCTTTTGGATCATAGGCACGGATGTGGTAGTTGTGCCTCTTTCCGAGCTTCTCAATACACTCCTCAATGCATCTAATTAGGAGACGAGATGTAGTCATTTAATACTATGGGTTACAAATATTTTTGAAAGGCAAGCCAGCCATCTATGATTGGTACTTACTTCAGCCCACCATCTTCCCGCATTTCCTTGGTGCTAAAGTTAGTGTGGCAACCAGCACCATTCCAGTTGCCGGATATTGGCTTAGGATCAAATGAGGCCACCACACCGAAGTCTTCACAAACTCGGTGCAAGATGAAACGAGCTACCCACAAATGATCCCCCATGTTGATGCCTTCACAGGGGCCAACCTGGAATTCCCACTGCAAAATAGGTGTCACGTTATAACGAATCAAGAATTAACAGAAGAATTGAGGTCATATTCCAAATAGGTAATCTTTGGATGGCAGAAGAGACTGGGACAGAGGTTACCTGGGCTGGCATAACTTCAGCATTGGTTCCACAGATCATCACACCAGCATAGAGGCAGGCTTTGTAATGTGCCTCCACAATGTCTCTGCCATAGGCTTTATCTGCTCCAACTCCACAGTAATAAGGTCCTGTAGATATCAGGGGAGCAGATTAAAGACCAGACATCTTCAGAACATCATTGATAATGGTTAAATGTGACAGTAAAGGAGCTGTTTTTACCTTGGGGACCAGGGAACCCATTGGAGGGCCAACCAAACGGATGTCCATCTGTACCAAGGATAGTGTACTCCTGTTCCATGCCAAACCAAGGGGTCTGATGGTCTACCATTTCCATGATCTTTTTACATGTATGACGATGGTTGGTTTCTGTGTTTAAGACCAGAATAGCAATACGTCTTTAAACAAACCCAGATCAAACACACACTGATGTCGTCTTATCCTCAAATAAACGTACCAGCAGACTTCCGGTTGTACTTTAGCACCTCACACAAGACCAATTTGTTGGGGTCTTTGCGAAAAGGATCCCTAAACATGGCAGAGGGGATGAGATACATGTCGCTGTTGGAGCCTTCAGATTGATACGTGCTGGAACCATCAAAGTTCCACTCAGGAAGATCTGAACAACAGAACCTGATTAGAAGCCATTAATTCCAAATCCCTTAGAATTCCAAGACTTGAATATAAATCTATTAATGCATTGTAAACGGATGTGGAGTTGTCCAGCTTACCTTCAATGCTTTTAGGCTCAGAGTCCAGCGTCCTGGTCTTGCATCGCAGTCCTTCTCCAGTTCCGTCTATCCAGATATACATGGCTTGTACTTGGTCTCCCTGAGGCAGTTCCATATACTGCCCTTTTACCACTTTACTCAACTGAGCACTGGCAGACGTGGCCATTTTTATTACAATAAAACACCTAAAAAGGAGGAAAACAGATAGTTTAACATCAAGAAGACGTCTCACAAGAATACTGAACATATTGCACTTTATTAAACTTGGATAAGCATTAAAGCATACATTCACCATTCAGGATCAATAGCTTAAAGGAATAGTTAACCCAAAAATGAAAATTCTGTCATTTACTCAGTTGTTCCAAACTAGTATGGGTTTCTCTTCCACTGAAAAAAAAAAAAAAAATATATATATATATATATATATATAAATATATATTATAATGGGTGACTGTAGCCATTGACTTCCATAGTATGAAATGGGGCCCATTAACGGTTTTGTTACAGACATTCTTCAAAATATCTTATTTTGTGTTCAGAAGAAAGAAATTTATACAGGGTCGGAACAACTGGTGAGTAAATGACAGAATTTTCATTTTTGGTAGAATTATCCCTTTAAGTACAATACCAAGCAGATGTTAATTTAATAAAACAGGTAATCTCAGAAGAAGCCTAGACATAAAACACAGCATTGATTGGATTAGACCATTGTTGCCAACCAGGTAATTTAGAACGAATTTGATTTTGGCACCTTAAAATGACAAAGCAGAAGATAACTTATCGCGATTGATTGCTGTTGGCTTGTGTCCATAGAGGGGTACCTGGCTGAATCACAAATAAGGCGTTGGGAAAGACAAGACCACGTGCTTTGCAGTCTGCATTTGGAATTCTCTTTGCGTTCACATGTGAAAGGGTTGTTCGATCAGTATGATAAACCGCTATCAATATTGATCGCACAAATCATTAGGTCAGCGCAAAAAGCATCATTGCTGCTCAAAGTCGACGCTTGCCAGCGCATTCCGGGGACCCCGGCTAGCCGGTAACCATGGTTACAGCACGGCAGTATATTACATCATAGCATGAAGTATAGATAAACAACGGTCATGTCACAAAACAAGTCAATTTTGTTTAAAATCAAACTCCCCATCAACAAAAGAATGAAGTTGCATAACCATATTAACATTCACAAAAGCACATTCGTGCATTGCACACAGATGAACCAGATGAATAATAGGAAGTTACGTACCTGGACACCAACAGAAATTAAAATGTATGATATCAGACTGGCAGGTCCAGTTGCTTGACTGATAATTTTGCGTTTGGTGTTCTCTCATTCTCTGCCCAGGAGTTTGGACTGTCGTCCTGATTTATATGTATGGTCGCAGGATCCCAGCGCATGTGATTGGTCAGCGAGAAGCGTGATCTGTTTGTTCTCAGGTGATTGAAGGCACGCGCGGCGTCATCATTGGATGCGAGTTCTTCCAGCGCTGATGTGAAGCCACGCCCTCAACTTCGGAGAGGGAACATTTGCGTAGGATTAGTCTTTTGTTGTTGTTGTTGTTGTTGTTGGTGGTGGTGGTCATTCTCTGTTTTTGATAGAGCTATAAAGAAGTTTGTCCCACCGAAGTGAAGGGACGACATTGCAAGCTTTTTAAACAGGAGCTCAAGAAGAACATTGTGTTCCATAATTTAATTCACAGAGCAAACCCCGATAAATGAAGCATTTATGGAGGAGAAAGCAAACCTCGTGTTTCAAGAGATTAAATGCCCCCATGTGGTGTAAAATATTGCACTGCATACATCCTCTTACAAACTGCTGGGACTTCATCATGGTCATAAGTGGAAAAAAAAAACAGGCTCGAATTATAAACAAACTGAGCAATAGTTAATTGTATTTCCCCCCAACAATAAGCAAGCATGTATGTTAATTTTGTTAATGGGCCATTGACAAATAAAGCTTCAAAAAAGGTGTATTTTTTAATAAATCTTTTGTACTGATGTAATGCATATTTTTGAGTCATGAACAATGTTTTCAAGTTTTTTTTTTTAAGCTTAAGAAGTTTTCAAAGTGTTTAAATAATTTTTAACTGGTTTTTGTCAGGCGGTAACAAACAATTATTTGTATAGGCTAATTACATAGTTGTAGGCCCTACCACCGGACATGGAAAGAGAAACCCAATACTTAAAATGAGCAGTTTTTTACCTGTATTTGAGAGAGATCTACAAACCTTTTCACTCTGCCACAAAGATCAGTTGGGCTCCTCTGGATGACGCATTATCATGTTTTTTCAATATTACCATGTCAATTCATAATAAAAGAGGCAAGTTTGCAGATGCCACCATGACTTCTGAGAATATACAAATTGTTGGACAAAGGTTTTTCCAATGATCTCAACAGGTTTAAAACTACTGAGATTTATAAAATTTGTTTATATGAAAGGTGTCAAACCTAAAATGATGCCGTAGTATTTTTTTTTTTAATTGTTTAAACCATTTTAAATAGTTTTATTAGTAATTTGTTCGGACAGTTGTACCACCTGCCATTTTGTGGGTTTAAGATAACAAAGCATAAAATATCATTTAAATGACTTAAAATGAATTCAAACTAAATAGGTTTTATAGAATAAAGTGATATATGTCATGAATTTATCAAATTATTTTAAAAGGAAATAATGCACTTGGACACAAAAATATGCATGTCGTGTCTTTGATGCATTTGTCAATTCATTTTCTTAAACAAAAAACGTCATTCTATCATTCATTCTTGGCTTTTCTAGAGCAAGATGGATATCTGGATCTTCATATGGCTCAAAAAAGGTATAGTCAGTCAGTAGTACATAGTTACAATAAAAGTTTAGACTTAAATGCAGCCTTGTTAAATACAAGAAACTCCTACTCATAACCATCTTACCCAGTATCAGTGTGCAAGGAAGCAATAACCCTATATGTTTCATTTAGAATTGCTCTTTCACTCATAACTATGTGATGTAATTGCTTTAAAGTCATCAAAAATGATGAGATCAGCACGCCTGGAAGACAGTGAGCCTTAAGGAATGTAAAACAGCTGAGTAATCTTCACAAAACAACATATAGACCAGGTGAACTGAAAAGGCAAAAGGGCATTTGAATTCAATTTGTTTTTAACAACATGATAGCACAAATAATCCAGTCTAGATATAGGCCTACATTATCAAATTATCTTACAGTAACACTCTGTTTTTAAGATCTTTTGAAAGGGCTTTATTTGCAATCCTTTCCCAAATACTCAGTCCGTTTCCTCTTTTAGGCTACATGATGCACAAAGTTTAAACTTTTTGTTAAGTGTATTGATTCAAAGGACAGTGAATAAGCCTACATTTATTTTGCATTTTCAAAACATTATATAACAATCATATGCAATGTGCGGCCACTATATACCACTGGTGTCATGGTGACATTCCCCCTGGTGAGACCATGAATGTACATGTACAAAATGTGCTCATATTGCTCATGCTAAATGAAACAGTGCAATCAGTTTGCCTTTGGTGACTTTATTTTTTAATAAATATGCCAAAACTATTGAAGTGAGAGTAGGAATATGCTGCCTCAGTATCTGCTGTGGCCAAAGTAACGCTAGACAGCTGATGCCCAGGATCAGTTCTCCCAAGAGACCAGTGATGACCTGGCACAGAAATTAAACATTGAGAGGCAGTGTGTAAAGACACACCAGGACACTCTTGGTGGTTTTCCTGTGCAGTGGAAATGGAGGTCAAAGCGCACAGTTGTTTCAGAGAAAAGAAGCCACCCACAAAAGTTTAAAAAGCCAGGGCACTCTTCATCCTTAGAGTTCAGCTTCACCATCTGTGCTTGTGGAAGCAGCTGGAAAAGTTGAACTAGGAATATTTTAAGTCAAAGAAAACAGATGCCAGTTTAGTTAAACTGTTAAAATGGCCTATTGTCATTTATGGAAGCACTGCTCCATAGTTTACTTCATAAACTGCAACTTCAAAATAACTAACTACCTGCATGAACCAGTGCGTGTAGGTAGTTTGCTTCTTTGATATTTCCAAAACACAGATGAATTAGCATTATGTTTTTTACAAACGTCTCAAATTCTCTTTAAAAATGTCGATCAAAGATGCTTGTAAAGTGTATGCAAATGGCTCCCTCTAGTGGGAAAACATTTCAGTACAGCTGAAGATTATGATTTTGTGGTTACAGACCTTGCAGGACTGAGTGGATTTGTATTGTTTATGAAAAAGATACTGTACCGTACTGTATCTTTTCAGACTGTGAACGTAAAAAAGGATAATCAGGTCCTTCTCTTTGTGGCAGTGAAAATCTTGGATTCTTTGTAAATCTAAGGCTCCTCCATTGATCAAGACAATATTTGCTTCAAGATATTTCTATAGCTGCTTGCTTGTTTAAACAGTTGACATATAAATTTAATAAAATAATATTATAAGGATTTAGGACATTCCAGAAGTTTCAGGAAGTGAATGTTCTTCAGAGTTCCTCATTTTTATGACCAATAGTGTACATGATTATTTCATTCATTTGTGATTACAGGATATGGTTGTTGTTATTGTCAGCTATATAAAGGCTCTTAATTGGAATCAATGGTTCCATGAAGAACCTTTAACATCCATGGAATCTTTTCATTGCACCAAAGGTGTATAGTGGAAAAAGCTTCTTCAGATTATTAAAAAAGGGTTTTATTGGAGAACCTAAAATGGATATTATGTGGCGTTGCTGTGGAAACCTCCTTTTGGAACCTTTATTTTTAGGAGTGTACAGAAAAACGTAGAAATTTCTATTCCTTTAAAAAAATAAAATAAAAATTAACTTCCATGACTGTTTCAGGTCTAGAAATCAAATTGTTACAACTTCCTCATCCCAGTCCTGGATTTTCAAGATCGTGGGAGCCTTCATTCTTAAAGGTGCAGTGTGTGATTTTTAGCGACATCTATAGCGGCTCGGTTGCGAGTTTGCACTAAGGGCTCAGCCCACTGCTCACCCCTCCCTTTCGAAGAAGCTACGGTGGCTAAAACGGGACAAACATATTGTCGTCTGAGACAGCAGAGAATAGCCAGAGTAAGCCAAGAGTGTGTAACATTGTCACTGTTTCTGTACCACAGTCCATTATAAACCACATCATGGATAAAGTTTACAAAGCCATAGTCAGGTGAGGATCAAGGGTCTTAATATATAATATAATAATAGTAATCAGCTGATTGTCTCACAAACGTAACCAGCACATTTCTCCCCTCATAGCAAACCCATAATACAGCGAGGGAGAAGAACCACATGAAACTATGCAACTATATATGTTTTCTGACAGGGTAGTAAAAGTTTAGCTGCATATAAGCTGTTACTGTGGCTGAGCTGGTTAAAGCGTAAAGCCTTGTTTAAACTGGACGCGTCCGCATGATATGAGATCAAAGGTGCGCGTGGCAAAAATGACATGATTGTAACAGCGCGCGCGCCTCCGCATCCCCTAGACACCATTTACTACACACAATAGGCTTTTTTCTCTGATTTTGAAAACTCTTCACGATCGACTTAAAATGCTTCCAAGATCGACTTGTCGACCGCGATCGACGGGTTGCTGATTCCTGTAACATACTGTTTTACGGTCAATGACAAGAGTACTAATCAGATGTCTCACGAACGTAACCAGCACATTTATCCCCACATAGCAAAGCCATAACACAGCGAGGGAGAAGAACTAAGTTACATGAAACAGTCCAACTACATATTTTACACCACTGACAAGGGAAAAGTCACTACTCACGGTGTTTATGGCTGGCTTATAGGTTTCTGCGGCTTCTCTTTCAAGGTAGTGACGAAACGCGGTCTGTAGCGCTGTTTGTTCGCGTTCGGCTACTGTAGAAACATGACGTCACAATATGTCTACCTTCATAGAAGGGGGTGCCCGCGGTTATGTAGATATAAATGCCTCATTCTAAGGTAATAAAAACATTACGGTTTATTAAGTAAGTTCTTTATACACCTCTGAAAACATAGTTATGGATGTCATATTGCATTTCTGTTAATAGATACTCAAAATTATTACACATTGCACCTTTAACAAAAAAAAGAAAAAAAGAAAAGAAAGTTGTTGAGTGAACAAACTAAATAAGAAATATGATGTCAGTTAAAGAGTTATTTCACCCAAAAATGAAAATTCTGTCATTAATAACTCACCCTCATGCTGTTCCAAACCCGTAAGACTTCATTTTTCGGTGAACTATCCCTTTAAGTTTTATAACTTTTAATCCGTGTTTTGTCATTTTAAATCATTTTAGTATATTTAATGATAATAATACATTTAAGGAATTTAAGCCCTCCTGTGGTCCCATTGGAAGTGTGCT